CCCTTATATGCTACTACCTCTCTCTCCCTTGTTTCTTTTAGGGTTCTCTGTTTGTCTTTGCTATTTGCCCCTTGGAGTGGGCCTCACTGGGTTCCTCTTGAATGGGACCCTATGTGCTTCCTGGACTTGGGTGACTTTTTCTCTCCTCCAATTAGGGAAGTCTTCCATCATTACTTTTTCGAAAAAATTCTCTGTCCCTTCTCTTCATCTCTGTCTGGTATCCCTATTATACTGATATTATCACGTTTCAGGTTGTCCTGCATTTCCCTCAACGCCTCTTCATTCTTTTTGAGTCTTTTTTCATTTTCTTGCTCTTACTGGGAGCTATTTTCTACCTTATCCTCCAGCTCACTGATTCATTCCTCTGCTTCATCTAGCCTACTTTTGATTCTTTCTACTGTGTTGGTCAGTTCAGAAATTGTATTCTTCATTTCCTCTTGTCTCTTATTGATCGTTTCTATGTCCTTTTTCATGCTGATACAGTTTGCAGTAAGTTTCTCCTTGTTTCCCTGTAGTTTTTTGTAATTCTCTCTGAGCTCACTGAGCTCATTGAGCTTCCTTAGAACCGTTGTTTTGAACTCAATATCTGATAGTTTACTTGCCTCTATTTCATTTAGTTCTCTTTCTCTTTCTGGGGATTCCTCCTTTCCCTTCAACTGGGGGGGTGTTTCTTTGTCTTCCCATTATTTGTGACACTTTCCTTTTTTGCTTCTGCTTCTTAAATTGATCTATCTTGATTTCCTGACTTTGTGGTGCAAAATTCTCTGGTAGGAGACTGCTGCTTTTTCTTTCTGGATCTGCCCCTGATGATGTCACATGTTGACCCTGTCTGACCTTAGGCAGTCTTTTCTAGAATCCCAGGAATCGACTGCCTGTGGCTGTCTCCTTCAGCTGTTAATCTAGTCACTCTGCACTCAGCAGGCTGGCTTAGACACCACAAGGCAGGGCCGAATCCCTCCTGAGGGCAGGGTTATTGGGTCCTCTCACGCTGCTGCCACTCAGGGGAGTGGTCTGCCTGAGCCAGATGGCTGCTGCTGTATGGGGAAGGAGTAAGCACCAGGATCCTGCTGGCTACTCTCTCCGTTCTCTACCAAAGCCTTCTTCCCCAGTCCCTCCTCTCATGTCCATAGCCCACTCTGCCATCACCTTTGCCAGAGCCCAGGGTAAATGGCTGCAAATGAAAATGTATGTCTTGGCCCTATAAAAGGCTCTTTGCATCTCCAGCCGCCTGTGTCTGGCAGAGAGCAACCATGCTGCTTTTCGCAGCTGGCTGTTATCTGTGTACTTTTTGGGCGCTGGTGCTGTAGGCTGGAGATCCCAGCTTATTATTTAGACCCCGCTCTTCTCAGGGGGATCCAACTAGCTGTCTCAATATCTTTCTGGTGCTGCCACCCATGGGCAACCTGCCCACCTTCTCTAGTCTCTCTCACACTCCTTACCAGTTAGGTTGTGCTAAGGCTGATTCTTCTGTCTGCCCGAGGTTATAAGGCTCTTCTCTCGCTATTGTTCAGTTTATTCCAGGTGATTTCTGCACAATTTAATTGTAATTCCAGATTGGTCCTGGGAAAAGGTCAGTGTGACTTCCATTCAGTCCTCTGCTATCTTGATTTTTTGAGAACACACTTTTAACATGATAATGTTAGTCATTTATTCTTACTAAGCCTACTAGGCTTATTCCTAATAACATACTAGGAAAGAACTGTTGTTTCTTTCTAAGGGACTCAAGTTTAAAGTGAAAAACATTATATTGCCAATTATTTGTAGGCTCAGATTTAAGATTCCAAAACAACAGACTCCATCACAGTATCTCAATCAATGAATGAGTAAGTTAGATGCTAAAGGTGATATTTTGGGAAAATTTATCAGGCATCAAACATATTTTCTGCTTTCTTCTTTCACCAGTAAACTTTTATTTATACTTTAAGAACTAAAGAAAGCTCTTTGTAATGAGATATTTTATTTTAATTCTGACTCTTACTGTACCACAAATAAATTTTGCAGATCTCTAAACATAGATTTTATAACAGGAAGTATTAAATAATACACATTTTCAAAAAATTATATAAACACTGGCATAATTTCTAAGAACTGCAGTATCCATAGGTAGTCAGAGATGAGGAATTTGTAAATGTATTGCATAATATTTCTTATCAAGCACAACAGCAAACAGCATTGACTATTTCTGTGGCAATATGTGGCATGGAAACAATAAACAACCCTAAACAGGAAATTTCAGTGACTTCCTGACAGAAATAGCAAGTGCTATTCATCCTGGTACTTTTGAAAGAAACACCCTGTGTCGTCTTGAAGTTTTTACTAAGTATAGCCCTACTCTAAACCAGCAATTTTCAATCTTTGTCATCTCATGGCACACATAAACTATTAAAATGCTGCAGCACACCATAAAATATATTTTTTGCCATTCTGACCAAAAAAAAAACAAAACAGGTATACTTTTTATTCATTCACACTGGATGACTATTGTTGACTATTGTCATTTTTTTAAATTTGATGTTCTAAGGGAGAAGAGGTCAGTGGCCCTGGCTAAACAGTCAAGTACTGCATGTTTTAAAAATTCTTGCAGCATAGCAGTTGAAAATCACTGCTCTCGATTAACCATGCTTCAATAAAGGGAGCATTTAGTACATTACGTATAAGATCAAATCAGTGGAACAGTTTTAGAAAATAATTTGTAATATGGAGTTTTCACAATGTTCATGGCTTTTAATCCAGTAAGGTAATTCTACTAGCCCAAGTGTAGGGGAAGAAAATAGGTAGAGATGCTATGCTAGCAAAATATTGGAGAATGTCATTACAGTCCAAGATTTTAGTTTGTCTTGATTCTTTTAGTTGCACAAATTAGACATTATTGTTACTGTTTTGTGTGACTATTATCCACTGTATTTACTTTATTTACTGTTTCACTTTATTTACTGTTTATTCCTTCCTGCAGCGTAGATGTTTCTTCAACTCCCCTTAGAATATTCTAATAAGCTTATATCTTTCTCTTTTCCTTCTTTCCCGGGGGGAGAGAGGTAATGATTTATATTCATCTCTTCTCTGTATATCTATCTCTATGTCTGTACCCCTATGTCTCTCTGTTTCTGTCTTTCTAATGCCTTTATGTTGCCCTAAATCTTGAAAGATCATTTTATTAGATATAGTATTCTAGATTAACAGTTATTTTCTCTCAGCAATTAGAGATATTATCCCACTGATACCTGTCCTCATTTGTTGCTCTGAGAAGTCAGCTCTCAATCTTGTTTAATTATCCTTAACCTTCCTCCTTTAAGAGCTTTTCTTTCTCTTTGATGTTCTGCAGTTTGTGCTGTGGCTTCATTGTGCTTTCTGAATTTGAGAATTGGTGTCTTTTATTCTGAAAACTTCTTAGATATATATTTTTTCCAACATTCCATCTCTCCTCGTTCTTTTCATCTATGGCTCCAGTTAGGCTTATTGAGAACTTCTCTCTGTGTTCATCATATCCCTTAACCACTCATATTTTCCTTGTACTGAAATCTGTGCTTCATTCAAGAAAGGAGGAATTTCTTCAGATCCTTCTTTTGATTTTTTTTTTCCAGCTGAATCTAATCTTACCAACCATACCAACCATACTGCTTATTCAACCAACTGTAGAGCAGTAGTTTTCAAAATGTGGATTGTGTCACAATTGCCTGGAGAGCTAGTAAAGAATACAGCAGCCCCAGGCTCATTGAAGTAAGAGAGGGCCTGGGCCCTGGTATTTTTACCAAGTTCCCCTAGTGATTCTGAAACCCACCACAGTTTGAGAGCCACTGACATTGAGTTTTTAATTACTGATTTTTCTTCTCCTCAAGTTGCACTTAATTCTTTTTCAAATTTGTCCAGTTTGGTAATCCTTGGTCATATTTTTAATTCCTTCCTTTATTTTTGAAATTTCTTAGACACAAATATTTATATTTTGTATCAGATCATTATTCCATCTATAGTCTTTGGGGAGTGTGTTTCTGTTTTGTTGAACAATTGTTTCTGCTAATTTTTGTGAATGGTGGCCTGCTTCCTTGAGTATTCAGTAATTTTTCATGTAGAACTCATGTCCTTTGAAATGGAATTTAATTTTATCTGCTAGGATTATTTAAGACTTTGTTTAATGCTCTTTCCTCCAGAGAGGATTTGCTGTTGACTCTGCCCGCTCCTTTTAGGCACTGTCACCAGGAACAATGTTTTGGCTCAAATTTTGGCTTTGGTGAAGGCAGGCTTCAGGCTAGGAAGGTCTGTTTGTTTGTCTGTTTGTCTATTTGATTGTTTCTGTTCCTTCCTATGGTATATACGGTTTATTCCCCATGGTCGGCCTCTGAGGGGTGAGTTTTTGTTTTTGTTTTTTCCCCCACTTAGTTTTTGCCCAGTAGGTGCCCTGGCTTTTGTAAAGGGACAGTTGATCTCTGATCTTCCCCCCTTGTCCTGTTTGGGGCATTTGTCTTTGTCTCCTGACTGCTGCCCATGTGGCCCATTAAAAACTAAGGCCCAGGCTAACATGGGTCAGACTGCGTCCCTCAGACAAACTCGGCCCCAGTGCTTGCCCACACCTGAAGAGTCGGGCATTTTTTATTCCTGGCCTCTGAGGATTTTTCTTAATTTCCTCCCAGCACAGCTATGCATTACTAAATGTATTTCTTAAATTATTTTATATATTTCACCTGATATTTTTAGTTGTACTACACTGGGAGGGGTTTGTGTGACCATCTAGTGTGTCATATTGCTGAAAATGAAACATTCAAACCTTGGTGTAGATTTTGGGACTCGATTATCTAATATTGAGGGAGCATAATTTTATGAGCAGCAGGCCTCCAGAATATTTTATACATCCATGTCTGCTTTTAGAAAGCAATAGGATTGATTTGATAGTAGCTGAAAAATGCTCCTTTGCCTAAATATGTTTTGTTTGGGTATTAACAGTTTATGGCATTATTTACTTTGTACTAACTTCAGCTAATGAGCTTTCTTCTTTTTATTACTTTAAGGAGGTAACTGAGTTCTATGTTCAAAATGAAAATTCAGTAGACAAGTGGAAAAAGCCTCCAATAGTTGATAAACTCAAGGTAAGAAAATTAAGAAAACCTTTAACATTGGAAAATTTATATGCAGGTGTTTTTTAAGACCTTAGTTTGTTGTTGGTGCTGTTATATATGTAGAGGATAATTATATTAATAGTAACTTTTTTAAATTAAAAATAGAATCTGTAATATACAAATTAGGTTGCATAGTGTTTTATATATAGTGATGAACATAACCTCTTAAAGCTGTTCAGAGGAAAAAAATACAATGAACACTACTCACCACCATCTGTCACTTAACTGAGACTAAAGTCAAGGCAGTGCATTTGTCCTACATGGGCTTAATCCAAATGTCATGTTTGCAAATCACAATGCAAAAAATTATTCAGCATAATTATACTCAAGTGTGGGAGCTTTTTTAACAGCTCTGCTCAATAAGAAGTACAAAGAAGTTCAAACAAATTTAGTTTTTCAGCCAAATCCAAGGAATCTTGAAGGAAAAGTCATTTCTTTATCAGTTAAGAAAGTGTTGATACATGTGAATTAATAGCTACTCGTTTTTGCACAATAGGATACAGTGAAATAAATAGGTTCATAAATGTTTTTAAATTTTCAAAAAACGTAAGTATCGATACCTTTAAAAAAAAACTGTTTTAGGTCATAGCAAATTATGATCACTCTGGTATATTCATTATCTTGACAGGAAATGGCCAAAGCTGAGGGCCTCTGGAACTTGTTTTTGCCGGCTGTAAGCGGACTCAGCCAGGTGGACTATGCCTTAATTGCTGAAGAAACAGGAAAATGCATCTTTGCTCCAGAAATCTTTAACTGCCAAGCACCAGGTTACTACATTATTAAAAACAGATGTTCTCAGATATTTTGAGAGATGTTTAAATTTTCTCTATTTTATGACAAGGAAGTTTTCCTACATAAAGTTGTAGATTTATAAATTTGTCTATAATTTTACTTCTTAGTTACTTTGACTTAAACATTAAAACCGGATTTAATGTTCTCAGTGGATTACTCTTTTGTTAAACATCATCACATTAAGAGTAGTAGTGATTAGAATCTGCCACCCAAGCAATTGGTAGTATAATTATGGATTGCAGTTTCCTGATTGGGTATTTGATATTTCTATGGCTAGTTGGCATGAATAGAGAGTTCCAAATCTTTTGGTTAGCCTCACTGTCTTTCCATGTATTCATTCATTACTTATTGATTATCTAATAAGTGCCAAGCCCTATTCTAGATCCTTGAGATATATCAAGGAATAAAGTAAACAAAGATTCCTGCCCCCATGGAGCTGACATTCTAATGGAGGAGACAAAAATAAGTAATAAATATAGTCAATAAATAGTGTGCTAAGTTTGAAGATGAAAAGTGCTTTGGGAAAAAAGAACTCAGCAGGGAAGGGGGGTTCTAGAATGCTGAGGGACAAGGCATATGGATGAACAGTTGGGCTAGGCCTTATTTAGAAGATAACATTTGATAAAGACTTAAGGTGAGAGAGTTAGCCATGCTGATGTCTGGGGGAAGAGTTTCATAGTGGATGGAACAGAAAATGCACAGACCCAAAGGCAATAATGTGGAAGCTGTGTTCCGAGAATAGTCAAGGATGACAGTGTGGCTGGGAGAAGACTAGCAGGAGACATTAGAGAGAAAAGGACCTTATATGTTGGGCCTTCTAGAACAGATAAGGGCTTAGCACAGTGAAATGGGAAGCCATTGAACATTTGAGCAAAGCAGTGACAAGATGTAACTTCGGTTTTGAAAGTATCACTTTGGCTGCTATGTTGAGAATTAACAAAAGGAGAAAAGGAGGAAAGCAGGGAGTTTATTGGAGTAATTCTAGTGAGATGATGGTGATTTGTTCTAGGGGACCAGCAGTGGAAGGGGTGAGAAATGGAAAGATTCTAAATATATTTTGAAGGCAGAGCCAAGAGGATTTCCTGATTGGATATGAGGAACAAGTGGAGAAGTGAAGGACGCTGCCAAGGAGTTTCCATGAAAATTGAAAGGATGAGGGAAGGAGGCTAACTTTTCTTTAAAAAGATAATATGGAATAGAATCTATAGAAGGTGTTTTCAAACTTGGATTTGCAAAAGAACCACCTAAGGAATTTTTACAAACCCAGATGCACAGGCTGCATCCCTGGAGATTCTGATTCAGGAGGCTGAGGGTAGACTCTGGGAGTACCCGGATGCTGCTGGTCAAGAACTAGTCGTTGATGTGTAGTAGAAGGGTGATGGTATGATATCCTATAGTGTTCCTGCGCAAGTCAGGCCTTCGTATTGCCTTTTGTGCTTCTTGGATGGCCGTGGTGCTAAAGCCCTCCCTAAAAGAGTTAATTAAGGGTAGAATTGCCAAAAAGAGGTGTATTGGATATATGAGAGAAAACACAGTCTGGTGTTTTAGTAGTGTTTTTGGCCTCTCTGGTCTTTGACTCTTCATTTCTTTGGAACATTTGAGATAGTTCATAGACTTTTGTTGATGGTTGAACTTGACCTTTGTGTGGTTTTTTCCTCTTCCAAACCCCCATTTATCAAGTCACTGTTATAGTACATTTTAATCTAATAATGAGGCTATTGTAAAAGTAAAGAGACGTATTCACAAAGTTTCTAAAGATTCATCTCATTTGTTCGAAGCTATTACATCATACTGCATAGATGGCTTAGTTTTGTGGGAATAGAACTGCTCACCTTTTGCTTAAAACTTTTTTATTGTTATTTAATAGTAAGAAATACATTTTATAATGTGACCCAGTATATAGTGTATGTAGTTGTACGGGTCTTCATTGATGGATAAATGGGGGTGGCGTGGGGGGAGATTAAGTGGGGGGGAGATACTTATATATTATTGAAAAAAAGTCTTCATGAAACAAGTTTCTCTTACTATATTCACATATTTTCCACCGAGTCCAATCTAATGTAGTCTGTTTTGATCTATTTTAGTTTTTATAGATTGCTAGCCATATTCCACTAAATTTATTTCACGGCACACTTATGGGTCATAATATGAAAAATAATGCTATACCGGACATCCTTTGCAGATGCAGCTCTGCCACTATTTCTCCATTTGACCTGTGAACCTACTTTTTCACTAGATGGGTATGGGCTTTTTTAGTTTTAAAATTTCATGGGTCTATCAGTTGTACCGTCTAAGTGATATCACCAAACTGCTGAAATTTTAAAATTGGCCAGGGAAATGCATTTTCTTTTATTAAAGTATGATCAACAACTCTCCTCAGCAAACAAGATGTGTAAAATCTTAAGTAGAAAACTAGGCATTTTTCTCTTTGTAGTGGAGATATCTTCATGAAGAGCTTTGGGCATTGTGTTCTGGAGCATTTCCAAAGCAGATAAAAAAGAGTATGTAATGGATGCCAATTAAATACTTTGGCAGGTTTCTTAAGTATGAAAGATGAATTTCCATAGGCTTCCAGTTAAGATAGCGATGTAGGCAGGCATGACTCACCTCTTCACACAACCACATCAAAATTACAACTAAAATATAGAACCATCACTCAGGAACGTCAGAAATCAGGTTGCATGGAAGCCTGACGCCTACAGAGTTGAAGAAACCACATCTATCCAGTCTGGTAGGAGGGGCGCAATGCAGAATGGGCTGGCCCCACACCAATGTGGATAAAAATTCGGGAGGGATATCTAGGGAATGAGGAGTCCCAGACCCACACCGGGCCTCCCAGCCCAGAGCTCCAGTGCCAGGAAGATAAGTCCCCACAACTTCAGGGATTCAGTCAGTGGAGGAGGCTAAGAGAGCCCTAGGCAGCTCCTCTTGGGGAATCCACATACAGCCTCACCTACTCAGACTTGCTCCCTCTAAGCTCCAGCACTGGGGTGACAGTTTGAAGGGCACCAGTGCCATACAGGGAGAAACTGAAGTATCTGGCGTCAAGGTGAGCAGAGGCCATTGTCCCTTTTCTAAACCTTCCCCCCACAGAACGAGTAGGCTGGTGCCATATCTGAGACTCCATCAACCTGACTAATACAGTGTGACCCACCCAATTTATGGGCCCACCCAAGCTGCTTTTCCAAAAGAACGGCTGGTATTGGCTCCTAAATCCTATCAAACAAGGCACAGTGGTCTCATTGAGCCCCAGGGGCAGCCAAATTAGAGTCACAACTGGTTTTCACCTGGTAATCTCCAAACCCAGCACAAGTAGCAGCCATCTCAGACTGCATTACAGCTTGTGCAGGGTGCCCTGGGCAAAACACAGGTAAGGGCTGACCTTGGCCTGCACCACCCAGGAAACCCCAGGGCCAGCACACCCAGGGGACGGCTACAGACCACATTGGAGCACCACCACCCTGCCCCACACAGCTGATCCTCCACAGACGGTGGAGGTTGGTGGCCAGTGGTCACAGCCAGTTTATGCAGCTGATTGGCCTAGATAAATCCCTCTCACTGATCTGCCAACAGCAAACAAGCCTCAGCTACAAGAGGAAGGTGTACTCAACCCACACAAAAGGTGCACCTTGAATACCCAGCTTTGGTGATAAGGGAGGCTATGCCACTGGACCCTACAGGGCATCTACTACATTAGGCCACACTACCAAGGCACAGAGTCAAAGCAGCTCTACCTCATACATAGAAACAAACACAGGGAGGTTGCCAAAATCAGGAGACAAAATGACATGGCCCAAATGAAAGAACAGATCAAAACTCCAGAAAAAGAGCTAAATGAAATGGAGATAAACAGATGCAGAGTTTAAAACAATGGTTACAAGGATGCTCAAGGAACTTAGTGAGGACCTCAGCAGCATAGAAAAGATCCAGCCAGGATACACTAATTGAAATAAAGGACAATTTACAGGGAAACAACAATAGAGTGGATGAATCCAAAATCAAATCAATGATTTGGAACATAAAGAACCGAAATCAACCATGCAGAACAAGAAGAAAAAAGAATCCATAAAATGAGGTTACTATAAACAGCCTCTGGGACAACTTTATGAGGTCCAACATTTGCCTCATAGGGGTGCCGGAAGAAGAGAAAGAGCAAGAAACTGTAAATCTGTCTGAAAAAAATAGTGAAAAATAACTTACCTTATTTGTGAAGGAAATAGACATGCAAGTCCAAGAAGCACAGAGTCCCAATTAATGATGGATGCAAAGAGGCCCACCCAAGGCACATCATTATTAAAAGGCCAAAGGTTAAAAAATAAAGAGAGACTATTAAAAGCAAGAGAAAAGAAGTTAGTTACCAGTAGGTTGCCAGATGGGGGAGAGGTAAGGGAGAATGGGTGAAGAAGTGAGAGGATTAAGAAGTACAAATAGATGGTTACAGAATAGCCATGGGGATGTAAAGTACAGTATAGGAAACCGAGTAACCAAAGAACTTATTATGCACGACCCATGGCCGTGAACAGTGGTGGCAAGACTGCCCGAGGGAGTGAGGGGTGCTGGGTGGAGGGGGACAAAGGTGGAAAAATCAGGACAACTGTAATAGCTTAATCAATAAAATATGATTTTTTAAAAAAGATGAATTTCTACTCAAGCTACCTAAATTATTTCCCAAGTAGTTATAAAAGTTTATGGGAAACATGTGTCATCTTCCAATTTTTTTTTTTTGGTTTTTGCCCTCTAATAAATCATACAATATTATATATTGGAATGCTGAAAAGAGCTATTTTAACTCTAATGCTAATAGTGGGAAATTTGGTGTCCCTTCAGCTGATTAGGGGAGAAAAATTTGTAGATGTAATTTACCTAGGCTCTTTTCCCAAACCATAGATGACAGGTTCGTTGTGCCAGCTTCTTGGAATAAACTGGTAAACCCTTTTGGAGAGTTTATATTCAACATTTACCTCACTTGAACTACAACAAGAAACACTGAATTTAAAACAAGCAAAGAAAACAATGAGCTTCATTAATTCCAACTCAGGACTCAGTTTCTTCTTTGGTCAAAACTGATTTTAAGCTTGTGTTAATCTACTGAGAATTTGGCATTTTAATATGACTTTGACTCCATTATGAGTGCCTGAACAGAGTACAAACATATTTTGAGAGACTTTACTTAGACTTAATTCAATTTTCACAGACATTTTAGTGACTGTCCTAAAGTCATTATAAGAGGTGATGTTGACAAATGCTTTCTCAAAATCTTGTAAGTAATCAGTATTCAAGGGAAAGGTTTTAGATATTATTTTTAGAAACTGGATAGGAATGAAAATCAGAGAAAGGCATCTAGAGCATTTAGCTCTATGGAAGACATGAAGCTCTTTTTTTTTAACCTGAGAGTGGTACTATAATGTTTTCATATGCTGCACAATGCCTGCTGAGGGTCGGAGAGGGTCTTTGAAGGTATCAACTATCATTTTCTCCCCAGGGCAGGGGTTCTGTGTTTAGCATCCTTGAACTATGAGCTAGCACTTTTTAAGACAGTGTTGGGTGCACAGTAGTAAGACCAATTTTAGAGATAAAGAGACAATAATTACTATGTGAGTTCAGAATAAGGAGGTATTTCTGACTGGATAATCAAAGATTCTTCACAATGAAGGTGGCTCAGAAGCAGGAATTTAGTTAGGAAGGACGGGTAGAATTTCAGTTGAGAGAAGGCCTGGCCAGAGCAAACAGGGAAGTTAGAAAGCAAAGAGTGTGTTTGAGGAATTCGAGTCTCAGTAGAATAATATTCATTGTATTTCAGGAGTGTTTCAATCGTGCCAGAGCATATTTGCAAGATGACCAACAAAGTTTAGGCCAGTAAATTATTTTCATCAGTCCTAGCTGAGCCAGACCTCATTAGAGCCATGCTGCATTGAGATGACGTGGACAAGAGCCTGTGATTCAGAACAAGTTGAATAAATATGCACTGAATGCCGTGTACTTGTTAATTATTGTTATTTATGGCACACCTTCATTGGAAATTATATTTACTATTATGCTTCAAAATATTTTTAGCAAACATTTGCTTTAAAAAGATGAACATCTGTATTATCTACATCAAGTTTGGACTTCGTATTAGTACCTTTTAAAATTCAAAACAAATGCTTTTCTCATTACGTATAGACACAGGGAACATGGAGTTGCTCCACCTATATGGAAGTGAAAAGCAGAAGCAGCAGTGGCTTGAGCCTCTTCTTGAAGGGAGCATTGCCTCCTGCTTCTGTATGACGGGTAAGAGCCAGTCGCTGTTCTCTCCTTGTGCAGTCCGTCGCGCCAGAGTTTTTATGGATGAGCCGAGGACATGTGGGATGTGGCTCTGTGTTGCAGGCAAATTTGCTCATGATCAGAATCTGAATAGCTTTGTTTTGAGCCCAGTTTTAAGTTTGGGGCCTTTTTTAAAATTTGTATTTGCTTTAGAGAAAGGGGAGAGATTGGGGGAGAGAGGGAGGGAGACATCGATCGGTTTCCTCTCACACGTGCCCTGTTTGGGGACTGAACCTGCAACCCAGGTATGTACCCTGAACAGGAATCAAATCAGCAACGCTTTGTTTTGCAGACCAAGGTACAACTAACTGAACCACACCAGATAGGGCTAAATGTTGGAATTTTTAAATGTGCAGAATAAAATTTGCCCTCCTCTTAGGAAAGACACGAGATGTTGTTTTCTGGTAGGCATTAGCAGTAGAGTAAATCTAGTTTCATAATATCTTGTCTTCTAAAATTGCCACCTATGGATATTTAAGATCATTTTTGCCTATATGTATGAAATAATCATCTTTGTGATAATTTTGTATTGATAGTTACAAAATACTTAACTGCATAAGCCCAGAAAAGTAGAACTTTCCCCAATGCTGGTCATATCGCTCAAGTTATCTTATGGGGAAATACAGCTAGGAACATGTTAGTAAACATGGTTTGGTACCATTTGTACATAGGAAACAGTAATTAAGAACTCTTGAAGAGATAAACATATTATTTCATAATTGAAAAAGAATTAAACTAAATTTCATCTGACCATAATTTTGGCCAGATTTCATTGTCTTCTATAACATTATGTACATTTTAATAGCAAGACTGATCTCCATTTAAATCAGTAAGGGGCATTTATTGAACACCTGCAGTATGATGTGTTACCTATAAAGCAGTAATTTGAAGTTACAAAATAGAGTACACAGCCCCCTATCTAAAGAAACCGAGTCTCTAATTTTAGAAACTGAGCACATGAAATATCTGAAGGACCCATTTAAAAGAGCATTATATTACCAAGTGCAGATTACTATGATTGAGAGCTAGCCTGTGAATTCTGAAATTCCATACAGGAAAGCAGTTGTGTAAGAGTTCTACAAAAAACTTTCTGAAGAGATTAAGTGTTGAGCAGGCTTTATAGAATGCAAAATAAGTAAGTCGGTGAAAGCATTCTTGATGGAATTTGCAAGGCATAGTTAGAAGTTGTGTAAGATAGTAAACTGTATGGTAAGGAATTCTGGCTTTTAAATATTTACTACAGACTTCCACTGTGGGAAGAACAATGTTCTTAATCTACTCTTGATGACTGGAAAAAGGACTGAGTTTTATCCCGAGTCATATATCAGTGAGGAAGCCAAGAACACAATTCAGATTGCTCATCTCCACTGTTTTAACTACTTCATTCATTTATTCTTCCAGTGGACAGTTATTGAATACCTACTATTTGTAGGTCATGGGAGAACCAGGGTGGAATGGGGGAAGGATAGGAAGATGGAAAAAAATAAAGATGTTCTCTCTGTCCTCAGTTCACATTTCCTTATGTTAGTCTCTTTTGTAAACCGGTGTCTGTCTTCCTGCAAATTCAGCCTTTGTTTATTTGTAGAGCCCGATGTTGCATCCAGTGATGCCACAAATATTGAATGTAGCATCCAACGAGATGGAGATAGCTATGTAGTTAATGGCAAGAAATGGTGGAGCACTGGTGAGTACTCAGATTGATCCTTTGTGCTAGATGCTGTACTACAATAATACGGTAATAGTTATTAGTTTTACAATCACAGTTCTTTAAATTCTGCCTTAGCACTTTCAAATTTAGAAATAGTTGATAAAGAGAAAAGTAATTTTATAACATGTATTGATTAGGTGATGTTTATTTTAAGAGCAGAAAACATCTTCTACAGTTTGTGAAAGATAAAATTCATGTTAGTGCACAATATTTTTGACCATTTTAATTTCTATCAAAATTAAATTTTAATAGGGACACATCACCTACACTATAATAATTTCTATATAGTTATTTTTGAGAGAAACTGTACATGTTATCTAAAATAATTTAGTGTGCTACATATTTCCACATCTTAAAAATACAAGTTTCTTAATGAAAAATAAGAATCTTTATACATAAAAAAATACATTGTTTGGTCAACTCTTCTACTGACTCACATAAATGAATGAACCCTTTAGAAAGTTATAAAAATAACTGATTACAATAATAATCAGATGTGGTTGTCTGAGGATTGCTTATAGAGTATGAATGATAAATCTAATGGGATAACCAGTTCATTACTAAATAAAGGTGACATATGTAAGCAAATTATGTGTTTAGAAACTTGCCAGCAATGTATTAAAAAGGCCAGAAAAGCTTTTTATGTACTTTTTTTTATTGTTGATTGTTATTTTTGGAGTTTTATGAAATGACTTACAAATTAAGAAACAAGAAAAGAAGGATAGATTAAATTTTGCTGTATAGTTATTCAAGTATTAAAATTATGCAGGAAAATCATTTTTATATAATGTAAAATAATAATAAATGCTCCTTAATATAAGATTCTTTATTAATGTTAGATGGCCTAACTTATAGCATAATGTTCTTATCACTTATGCCTGTTACTACTATTTTCCAATATTTTAATTTTCATGTTTTATGCATTGCTTATTTTGTTTCCTCTTCTTGGCTTCTACCCTCCCCCATTCCTCACCCCAACTCTTTTTTTGTTGTAAGTTGCGACTGTAGAGTTTGAGATTTGAATTTCAGAATAATGCAGATGTTTTATCTAAGGGCGAAGCTTCATTCATGTGTATCGAAGCAGGACATAAAGCAGTTTTACATCTAAATGCTGAATGTGCTGGTTGGCTCTGTAGGGACCTCAGAATCCAAAGGAATCTCCACATTTTGTCTTTGTCTTCTCCAAGACCCATATTTCTTGGCAATTTTCATAATGTAGTTTTTAAAGGAGGATCCCATAAAAACATACAGGATCGGGTTGAGGCAGCTGTGAAAGAGCGCCATGCTCTCTGTGATTTGGATGGCAACATCCATGCGCTTGCTCAGGTCGCAGTCGGTGATCAGGGAGTAGATGATGTCTATGGCTAGGCAGAACTTGACAATGTTATAAGGCAGCTGAGTGACAATGAAAACTATAACCACTGTGAACAGAACTTTGAGGGGTCCAGATTTTTTAATGTTTGGCATCTTGATGAGTGTCCTTGCCGTGATAAAGTAGCACACACCCATAATGAGAAAGGGTATAACAAATCCGATGCAGATTTCCAGCATTTGAATTGCTGCTTTCAGTGATGTTTGCAGGTGGTATGGAAAGATGGGAATGCACCTAGCCTTGTGACTCACTGTATAGAAAACCAGCTGAGGTATACTCAGCAATATGGCAACCATCCAGACACAGAAACAGATAAGCCAGCATGGTTTTCCCACTCCAGAATGGCTCGGGGCTTTTGTTACTGCCCAGTATCTGTCTATGCTGATACAAGCCAAAAACTGCATTCCGGAGACAAAGTTGACTGTGTACAAGGCTGAAGTGACCTTGCACATGGTTTTCCCTAAAACCCACCCATGAACTGCATTAACTGCCCAAAAGGGCAGAGTGAATAGGAGGAGTAAATCCGCCACCGCCAAATTCAGGATGTACACGTCTGTTTTGGTTCTCTGCTTCTTGTAATAGGCGTAAATCGCCACTACTATGGAGTTTCCTGCAAGTCCAATGATAAAAGCAATTGTGAAGAAAGCAGGCAGGAAAACTTTCGCAAATTTTCTGACCTCTTCTTTTACACAGATCACTTCATACTGACTATAGTCATGAGTGCTGTTTATTTCATTTTCCTCATAATAGTAATCTGTTGATTGGTTGTCTTCCAAAGCCATGGCTGCAATCTAAATGGCAAAAAGAATACAGGATGCTCATTTTAATGTGCTTAAAAGGAAACACTTTTTATCTAGCATATGTTTTGTGTTCTTACTAGAGAATAGTTTGTTGCCATAACAACCATGAGCCTGAATCTGCCGTTTTTTTAAATCCTTAATGGAAGCCACATGGGAGTATATCCCCAAGAACGGTTTTCCATCCTTTGTTTTTACAGGTCTGTGTGCGGGAGCTGGGGTTTACACAAGAAAGCTAAAAATAATACCCTGAGGAATTTTCTTAGTCCCTAAACCCTAAAGAAAAGTCATGACTTCTTTTGTGAAAATAGTTTTTAAAATATGAAAATTTAGTCAGATTTCAACTACAAGAATCAAAAATGTTATAATTTTTACATATACAAGTTTGTCATCTGTATGCAGTATATCGACAAATTAAATACAAATGATTATTTTAATTAAAGTTTTTATTTATTTATAAACTTATTTTTAAATGCGATCTGAGCATTTATACTCAGTTTCATCAGTTGGCATTTATAAAACAGTCTCTTCTGCTCAGCATCCCCCCCAATGCTGTCGCACGCGTACTGTCCACTACCATTTGGTAGCACCTTCATTCCACTAGTCACCTAAGAGACTACCTTCATCTTGCCTTCATCTGTGATTTCCAATCAGCCCTTATATTCTGATTTTTACCTTCCAAATACATCTCGAACCTGCCTCCTTTTAATCAGTACTCTTGGACACATCCATATGATCAGACCATCACTGTTCCCTACCTGGTCTACTACAATATCTTCCTAACTGGTGTCCTGCTCTTCTCATTCTTCCTCACCACCTCCTTGTCAAACACATTTTTCTTCCTGCCACCAGAGGGCTGTGTGTCTAAAACGCCAATCTGTTACTCCCCTGCTTAGCTCCTCACCCGAAAGACACATCTCTTCGCCTGAAAGGTACAGTCCAAGCTCCTTGGCATGATATCCAAGGCTCCCTCTGTCATTTGGTCCTGCCCCTGGTTCCTGCCACATCTCTCTGCTGTGGGCCTCGACACCACAGGCAGTAACAGCATGGAGTAGCCCACGCTGCACCCCCTGTGTCCCCATCACTGCTTCTGTTCCTTTACCTCATAAACTAGTCCGTGTCCTTCCCTGGAGGGGCCAATCTGACTCAGTTAACTTGGATATCACCCCTCCCCACCCCAGGAAGACTTTCCTGGTCCAAAAGCTATATATACATACCTCCCAGAGAACCGACCCTATCCTACGGAAAAGATGTGTTTCCTAGACTACATTTTCCCTCTGTGGTCTCAGTTCCCAAAGATTGCAATTAATACCTGACAGAGTGCCTGGCACACACTGGTCACTCAGTAAATATCTACTAAAGACAGCTTTTACCACCAGATGTGAAGCTCTTATTCTCCTGTCTCATCATTGTTATTTTACTAGGTTGGCTATTAATACCCAGAATTCACATCAGTTTTAAAAGGTATTTAGTAATAACTGTCAATGGTTTTATTAGAGTGCTTGGTTTTGTTTTGCTTTTTCCTTAGCCTTTCTGTCTCCACTTGGTTACTTTTGTCCTTGGAAGAATCACAAATATTCTTACAGAATCATTAATGAAAATATTATTTTCAGAACAGTGTGACAACTTACTGTACATTTTCAAAAGAATATTTTTATACTTGCTAGCCTTCTAGGGATGAGTAAAGCAAAATAAAGAAGCTCCCCTGCAACCAATTCTTTTGGGTGCACATAAAAGAATTATTTTAATTATGTAAAAACCAGGTGCTGACAATTTAAAATGACTACTTTTATCCTTGATACTACTTGAAAGTTCCAAACTGGGAGATTATTCTGATTTCCATTAATTATTAACAAAATATGAACTTTGTTCTTTCTCTTTCATCTCCTACATCTTGAACCTGATGATAAGGAACAATATGGCCAAATAATATACACTATTAAGGAAAGATATTTTAAAATAAGAATTAATCTTACTAAAAATGTGCATCATAAATAAGAGTAGGAATGGAAATTATTTCCAGCAATGATCCTTTGGCGTTTGCACAGAAACACATTTAGTTGTCTTTGTAATTACTAAGAGAACAAAAAAAAATTAGTGTTTGTAAAACAAAGCAACAAAATGATATAGCAAAAACTTTTTCATTAACAACATTTCATAGGCAAGTAATGGTATTAAAATAATATATTTTTCTTCTCGCTATATTCAGATATTTGTTTTAAGGTTACAGTGTATAGCTGTTTTCGAATAGTTCTTTTTTGCACATAAACATTTAGATTTTTATACATCAAGACTCCATCTACATAGGTAAGTACACAAAGTCTTCAGGCTTAAAAAAAAAAAAGTCTTATCTAGGTCAAAATGAGAGAAGAAAAACCAACCTGTTTCAGTGGGCAGAGAGGAGCAGCCTTGAGTGCGGCGTGACTGAAACCCAGTGACCTCCTCTTAACTCGGGCTACTTTTGTTTTCGTTTTATACCCCGCCTTTGTCTTGCATCCAAGAGGGCTTTCCTGAAATTTAACCTTGTGGCTGCTTGATCTTTATTTTCTGTATAACCATCTTGTGAAATCAAATCCAAGTTCTTAAGTGCCCTAGGATACAAACCTGAAAGAATTTCATCTTGTTTCAACAACTACAGACCTTTCAAAGTTTCCATTTAGCCAAAAGCAGCCAGAAAGTACCTGCAGTTCAGGAACTAGCTGACTGCCTAGCCAAAAGGACTCACCTAAGCCCCTCAAGGCAGCTAACAAACACGTGGGGGTTGCATCAGAGAAATGCTCTCTAAAGTTACATTGTCTAAGAAAGAAAACAAAATGATTTTTTTCACCCAGAAAGTTATCTTTTTGAAGACTAAATTTTCAAAGACTAAATTCTAAGTAATCACTGGGCATATCTAGAGTTTAAGTCTTTGTGCCACGTGAATATTTTCCTTAAGCTATTAGACTCCTTTTTTGTTGCACCACACTCCTCTCTCCTTACCCTCAGAGAGTGCCTTTCCTGTGTCTGAGTGAGTTATTTATTTTTCCCACGTTTTCAGACAAATGAAAATTAGAGAAAGATGAGAAATGTATGCAGATTTGGCCTTTGTGGTTTATTTGAACTTGACTCCCCTCATATTTGCATAACAGTTCCCTCATTTATTATATATTCACGCAAGGCTGGGCTCAGTCTCCACCTGCAGAAGTTATTTCAGACCCGTGCCATTTTTTTCTCCAAGCAGTGGTATAACTCGACTCACAGGAAAGAGGCACCGAGTCCCTGGGGCCTCTACCTTCCTGCACCTTCCCACAGTACCTATCTGAGGAGGGAGCCAGATTCTCCCGCTTGCCATCTCCCGGTTTTGGAGGAAGAGTCATTTTCATGCAGCTAAACCAGTGCACCGGTAGAAAAAGTGCCTGGATTGGTGGTGGTTGTCATTTTCCATCATGTAAATACCCCTACCATGGCCAATTTTAAGCTACCAATGTGAAGTCGCCAAAAGCAAAATGGCTCAGAGGAGCGCAGAATCAGCTCCCCTGAGCAGGCCCTGGCACGCTTCCCCCACAGGAGGCCCCGCTTACGCTTTCCAACACTGATCATTCATCTCTGAACGCCTTCCGAAGGACACTGCTCTCAATGTTACCCCTGTCCCTGCCCTCTCTAGACTTTCTGATCCTTCCCCTCGCTCACCTCTTGTTCCTCTTGATTTGCTATATATTGGGGCAGGAGGAAATGAATGAGCAACCTTCCACGGAATTCTGAGCGTGGCCTCCAAAATGCCCCCATCTCTCACTGCCTCTCTGACCTTCTTTCATAGTACTCGCCCCTTTTCTTGCTTGTTCTGCCACACCAGCCTCCTAGCTGCTTTGGGGTTGTACCGGGCGTGTTTCCTACTTAGAGCCTCTGTACTGGCTCTCCTATCTTATGGAATGTGCTTCCTCTTAATATTCGCAAGGCGCACTCCCTCATCTGTTTGAAGTCTTTGTCCAGTCCCCACCTTCTCACTCAGGAAGTGCCCCCGACTTCACCTATACTTCCAGCTCACTTCACCCATAGCGCTAACCTTGTGCTCATATACCGTATTTATCCATTGCATCTCGCCCTGTTGTAAAATATAAACTTCATCAGAGCAGGTACTTTTGTTGGTTTCTTCACTGATACATTCCAAGTGCTTAGAATAGTGTCTGGCACATAGTATCTCTACCATCAATATTTTGATTTAATAAATAACCCTACCTTTCCTCCTGATTATTACCCCATTTCGCTTGTCCTTGATGCTGTACTTTTTTTAAATTTTTTAAAATTTTTCAATCACAGTTGACATGCAATGTTGTATTAGTTACAGGTGTAGAGAACAGTGGTTAGACATGTATATAACTTAGAGGCGATCCCCCTGATAAGTCTAGTACCCACCTGACACCATACATAGTTATTACACTATTATTTTCTATATTTCCTATGCTGCACTTTACATCCCTGTGTCTATTAATCTTTTCCTATAATATCTTTTGGACATGTCATTCGTGGAGATAAGTGGGTGATGCACTGCATGTATTGGTTCTGTAGACTCTTGCGGGGGCTGACGGGGATTGACTGCTGTCTGTACCCTGTCCAGGGCCACCTGGTAATAGCTACAAAGTGATCTGTGTTTGGCAGTTGCTGTTTGGAGGTGCCTGCAAGAGGCTGTGGTGCAAACCAAGCACCAGTCGCCACTAGTGCTGGGCTTGGGGCCCTTTAGCAAGCAGTACAGGGCAACACCGAGGCCAGTCGCTGCTTGTTTGGGGTCTGTGGACCTTTGAGAGACTTTTTAAAAGTCCACAGTGTAGGTCAAGACCAGACACTTGTGTGGAACAGCCACAGCAAGAGGTTCAAGATGGGCGTATAAGTCGCATGGGACAGAGTCTCAGGGAATCACCTGGATGGGGCAAGAGTAGTATTTGCCAGGTTAATGGGAATTCAGATGCCTGCCTGTGCCTGCCCTCTGTGTGCGGGGTGGGCTTAAAAAAGGAACAGCAGCACATGCCAGCATTTCTGCCAGCACCTGCTAGCTGTGTCGGAGGAGGGCGCGACAAAGAACAGTGCCTGCCAGGACCAATCCCATCGGTCCTGGATAGTGTCGTCCCCTCCTGCCCTCGTCCTAGTACCAGACAATTCAGTTCCTCCCAGTATGTCCCTGGTACTTTCTGAACTGCTGTCCGTGTGCTGGAACTTAGGGCGAGTGTTTGTGAGTAAGCGAGTCGGGCCCTTTAAGAAGCCAAAAGCAGCCCTCTGTCTCATGTCCATGGAGGTCCATGCTGATTTGCACAGCCAGGTATTGAGGAGACGCCTCTTCTTGGCACCAGGGTTCCAGGTGTGGTAGCCCAGTGTGGGGCCCGAGATCCCTTGCTCCTCAGGGGTCACCCCAGCTGTAGACAGCCTTCCTGATTCTCAACCTCCACTCGTGAGCGCCAGGCCAGCCCGTTTTGTGTCTCCACCGCTACTATCAGTCTTGACGTGACTTCTTCATATCCTTAGTTATGTGAATTCTGTTCTGTTAGTCTTCAGGTGAGTCTCAAAGGTGACTGTTGCATAATTTAGTTATAATTTTCATGTTGTTGGAGGAGGTGGGCACAGTGTTTACCGACCCTGCCGTCCTGACTGGCAAGCAATGCTGTACTTCTTTAATGACTAGTCAATAATTGCAGCCTCCATAATAGAATCACATCATCTCTCTCCAATTATGATATGTGCGTACAATACTGATTTGCAAACTTTTGCTTTTGCCATTTCCCCTACCTAGAATACTCGTCCCGTTTCACCATCGCTCCCTAACTCCTGTTTAGGATTCAGATTCAGGTCTGACCTTAACATTGCTTAATCCAGGAAACCTTTTTTCACTATTCTGGATTAGTTCGGATATGCATACTCTTTTTTCCAATACTAGAGATTGTTAGTACTTATTAAAATATTCTATCTTCCATAGCAATTTTGTATCCTGCTATATCCTCAATACTGAGCTTTGTGCCTTATGAAAAGTACCAGTTTACTGAATAATTACTAAATACATGAATGAATCAATGAATCAGTTTTTAAGTAACTTATCCTCCACAATTTACAAGTTTAGCAATGGAGTTGGAATTTGAGATCTAGATCTTCGATCTAAAACTACTTCTGCTTTATCATACTGTCTCTTATACATCTTAGTTATTATTTGTGGATCATCATAACTTGCCTTACCACTCAACTCTTATAGGACTTCTAGAATGTTTCCAATATTTTGCTATTACAAATGGCGTTGCAGAGAGCACAAATTTGTAGATGTTGTAAGAAACTGAACTTAATCTTACTGAGAAGTGTTGAAGAATGTGACTAACCATGCATAGCTAGCCTTTTCTTTTTTTTTAAACAAAAGATAGCATTCTTACTATTATTCACATCGTAGAATAATTCTAGAGTTCTTTCAAATAAGTGCATAGAAAGCTTCTTTATTCTTTTTGGAAGGGTTCCATGATATGGACATCCCACAGTATATTTAAATAGTCTCCTAAGGTGGATTTTTATTCATGCCCAATTCTTTGCAAATACAAACAATACTACTGCAATGAATAATCTTAGGCATCTGACATTTTGTTCAGGAACAGCTATAGGTTGTTCCTATGGGGGGTTGTAGGCTAACCCCCAAAATTGGAGTTGATGTATCAAAGAGTAAATGAACCTGTAATTTTGGTGGATGTTGCCAAATTATATTCTGTAGCGATGGTATCACCTTGTACTCCCACCAATAATGTATGGAAATGTCTTTTCCCTGGAACCTTGCCTAGAGAATGTGTTATTCAACTACCGCTTTGCTTTCTAAATGGCTTCTAACAGATTCAGTACACCTCCCTCCTCGCTCTTACCAGCCATGTGTGAAATATTTCCCCAAATTGGTTTTTCTTGCTTTTTAATTTTGTTTTTTAATATATGATAGGTTTATATAGACATACCAACTTATATTTTTCTTTGGGTTTACCGACCCTGCCATCCTGACTGGCAATCAATGCTGTACTTCTTTAATGACTTTGATTTCATTTATCATTTTTAAGGTTTAAAATTTCTTTTCCATCCAAAGATTTCTTTAAAAATTGTTTTTTCTTCCAGTTTCTTATGGCTTATTTAATTTTTTTTAATATTTCAATTCTGATTATTTGAAATTGATTTTGATCCAACTGTATACTGTAACTACAACAGTAACAGTAGCAGCAGCATGTGACATTCATTTATTGAACCCTAGATATTAAACCTTCCTAGAGGTAGAGTAAGTGAATTTCAAAGTGTTCCCCCACTAAAAATCACACGTATTAATACTTTTAGAGAATACATGAGATTGGTTTTTTAAAAACTGTGTATAATAGTGTATGATAAACATTATTGTTAACAAGTGGAAATTACATTGTAAAGTGGTACTTAATTCATAATGGTTTTTCATTCCA